CCATCGCTCCAGATGAGCTGGCAAAGGAAAAAACACTAGTTCTGGAGAACTGGGAGGAGAAAGGACCGAGTTGCTTAAATGCTCTTTATGCACCGCTGCTGGCTGATTGAAGAGACACAGCTGTATCTACAGAACATCACGCCGCTTTTACGTCATGGCACATTTCACACTCTCCTCCACCCCAAAGAACCAGGGGGTCTCAATTAATGTTCTGAGAGATAATTCTGCCTCCCTCCCGCAACTCAAAACTACAATACCAATTATTCTCAGTAATTATGATTAACTAAGATTAGAGTAGATAAGCACTTTCAAGCTACTAGTGAAGCCCTTTATACCTATAGGTTGCTAGACCCTCTCAACATTACAAATTCTGATGAAGCCTTCCTTCCCAATGAGACAATGATTCAATGCAGAATCCTTGCCTTTGCCTGAAATTCCTTAAAATTATCATATTGAAGACAGAATGCCATTGGTATTCCCAACAAAAAATATGCCCATTACATTCATTTGATTTATATAACTGCTGATTCAAGTTACCGTATATAGTAGAGTATAAGCCGACCCGAATGTAAGCGGAGGCACCTAATTTTACCACAAAGAAATGGGAAAATGGATTGACTCGAATATAAGTCGAGGGTGGGAAATGCAGCAGCTACTGGTAAATTTCAAAATAAAAATAGATACCAATAAAATTACATTAATTGAAGCATCAATAGGTTAAATGTTTTTTTTCAATATTTACATAAAACTGTAATTTAAGATAAGACTGCCCAACTCTGATTAAACCATTACTCTGACCTTCTTCAATGTAAATGTACTTACGTATCCTTCCAATAATAATAATAATAATAATAATAATAATAATAATAAAGTAAAATGATAAATGTAATAATAATAATAATAATAATAAATGGAAATGTAATAATAGCAGGAATAATAGTGTAAAATAATAAATGTAATAATACCAATAACAACAGAGTAAAATAATAAATAACCTTGACTCGAGTATAAACCGAGGGAGACTTTTTCAGCCTAAAAAAGGGGCTGAAAAATTAGGCTTATACTCAAGTATATACAGTATGTAAATCCAATAAATGTAATTGGCTTATTCAACTAATCCAATGAGGCTACTCTAGTTAGGGTCTACTCTAACCCAAGGAAAAATTAATGTATTGCTGCTTTCCCTAAACGTAATCAAAGAAAATTGGGAAGATTTCTTAAGTACAGACTCTTATCTATGAATTTAATCAAGATTCTGGAATTGAAAATTTGGGGAAATTGCCAAGAAATCTCCAAGAACTGAAAAAAGCCACCTTAGTCTTCATCCCTCATCTCATCATTCATAACTACTTACCTCACCTCTGTTCGGATATCAGCCAGCAAGCCAATGGCTTCAATCAAAAAATAGCTTCTTAAGTTCTATAGAGATACTCGCAGGAACACCTCAGCAAGCAAGAGTCCAAAAGTGACAGACTAAATCCCAGATCCTCAATCCATGGCTGATACCAGATGGGAGACTCCCTCCCAGGCACACAGAAGACTGAGCAACCCGGAAGGTGCTAAACAGACTGCACTTTGGGACCACAAGGTGACGTGACCTTAAGAAATGGGGCTACAAAGTAGAGTCCATGGCATGCTAGTGTGAAGAAGAGCAAACAACAGACCACTTACTATATTGTGGTCTGAGCCCTGCCACATGCACAATGGAGGACCTTCTTACAGCGACACCAAAGGCACTCCCAAGTGGCCAGCTTATGGTCAAAGGACAATTAGTATAATGCCATGTTTTTAACTTTGTTTCTGTTTTTAAATACATTATAAATGTACCCTCAATTTGCTTCTGACACAATAAATAAATAAATAACCTCATCTTCAAACCTCTCATCCTACTTCGATGTTGAAAAATGAAACACATGTACACACAAAGCACACCTTCTAAAATCTGACAACAAAGTCCAATAATCCTAATACCTTCTCAGGCAATTCTCATTGTACCTTCCCTATCCCTGCTTTAAACTAAAAACTTCAGCTCTCTTGACTAAGGATGAAATAAGAATATTTTTGTCACTAATTAGGACAGTAATTACTGCTCTTATGTGTACACATTTGCAAGTCATTTACGCTCTCTTTCGCACTTTCTCTTCTGTGAAGATATTGCTGATCCTATCTCTTAGTACTTGATTCCCCAGAAATAGTTTTCTTGTAGAGAGGATGCCTGCCACAGATAACTGAGCAACTGCTTTACATCATTCATAGAGACAACATTCCCTTCCTTTTGGCCACCTTCTACACTATTTCCATTTCCTTCTGTTATTTTTTTTATAAGAAAAGACACTCCCGGTGAAATAAAATAGAGATACCTACCACATATATATATATGGGTTGTACTTTACTAGTAAACATTAATGTAATAATAGGTTGTCAATCTGTTTAAATATGTTTATAATGTAGAGACCAGAATCTTTACATTTTAGACATAAACATACATCTGATTATAATGCTTGTTGTACTCGACAACCAATTAAAAGTTGAGTCCCTGTCAAAATAAAAAGGTTTCTGTCTGCTGGCGAAAGACAACAGAGAAGGTGCAAACTTAGCCTTCATGGGAGGGAATTCCATCATCTCAGACCAACCACAGATACACAAGTGGAACCAAATAATAATAAAAAATATCCACATACCAAGATATTAAACTGGGCCGGCTCATATATAGAGATATGGTCTTTCAAAGAGGTTTGAACACAAGCCATCAAAGGTTTGGGTCATGACAAGCATTTTGAATTCCCAGACTGGAAGCCACTGAAGTTGTTTCACTATTGCTTGGTGTTTTGTGTACCGAAAGATCCTTTGGTTTCCATGCTGGTAGTTGTATATTATGGAGCCCCCGGTGGCGCAGTGGGTTAAACCCCTGTGCCGGCAGAACTCAAGACCAACAGGTCACAGGTTCGAATCCGGGGAGAGGTGGATGAGCTCCCTCTATCAGCTCCAGCTCCTCATACGGGGACGTGAGAGAAGCCTCCCACAAGGATGATAAAAATATCAAATCATCCGGGCATCCCCTGGGCAACGTCCTTGCAGACGGCCAATTCTCTCACACCAGAAACGACTTGCAGTTTCTCAAGTTGCTCCTGACATGACCAAAGTTGTATATTAGGAGTGACACATAAAATTGACAAGCAGAATTGTCACAATGGAGCACGGCTCCGACTGTAAACCTTCCCACTCTCTTCCCCAAGGGAGTATTATCTTTTGTAAGGGATAGCTGATGCAAAATAGGTCTTGTGAAATCAATCTGCACCTGGGAAAATATAGACATTAATCTGAAAGCATAGGGATAATATTACTTAGTACAAAAGAATTCCACGTTGTTGGAAATGCAAACAACAAAAGGTAAAAAATACAACGTGGAATGCCTATAGACAAGTGTGATTTGCTTCCTTTTGTGAGCCTCTCCAAGACACCGCAAACACTTGGGAGTGCTTATCCGAGACTGGTAGCTTTCCCGAACACTGAGTGCAATGCTTGAAGCGAGTTGTGGACATCGTCAGGGAAGAGTCCGAGCGGGCCGTGCAGCGGAAAAACAGGAACTGTGGAGCGTGTGCGCGGGGGCGCCTTTTATGCCCTGCTGGGCGGCTTGGCGGGGTTACTGCCAAAACTTAAAAGTTTCAACTTGGGAAGTTTTCCGTTGGAGCCTGTGCAGGCACAGATACTCCATATGTGTGCATTCACAGAGGCCACGAAGAAAAAATATAGTCTACCTGTTCTTTTTGCTACAGTGGTAATCTCCTAGCAAAGGTGTACCCAGCTAGGGATCCCAGGCCTAATGCAATGTGATAAACAGATTCAGTTTTCCAAGTGAAGCTGGCTACTCCACTTCTTGTTTAGAAAAACTGGAATTCTTTGTGTAAAACATTACATCCAGATTTAGCCAACCACATAAAACACAGATTCTCCTAGAGTCAATTCTATAAGTAGGAAGACTTATATCTTATTTTGGCTCAACAAAGAATATTTTAGTGAGTCTGCAAGGGTGGAGAGCTACAAAAAAATTGGGGGACCTCTTGCAGTCCCAGAATTGCACTTTGCCAGGCCTTGGCTTAAGAGTGTCGCAGTTGGACCAGTGAGATCTGGATTCAGCTTGCCATGCTGCCCAAAAGGTTACTTGGGACACGCTCGATCTTTCAGTATCAAATTCACCTCTTATGAATAAAGAAGGGAAACAATGAGCTGGGGAGGGTGATATCATGGATTGAGTAGCAAAGGTGGAAGCTGGTTAAAAATATAAATAAATCTTACCAAACCTCAAATAGGAAGCAGGAATGAAGGACTGTATCACTTCACCCTTTTCTTTGCTGTACAGTTGTCACAAATAATGTCTCATCCCATTGAAGAGATGTCCTTTTGTCTTAAACTTCCGATTAGCTTTATCTGCTTGTAGTAATTTTACTCTCCTTCCCTCCCTCCCTCCACAGTTACATCATGTCTACTTTAGATTCAAAGTTTGTGGCAGTTACTCAGTTAGGCACTTGTTTAATATCCCACTATATAGCACATAGTTGATAGAGTATTGAATTAGTATTGGGTATACTGTTGCTTTTCCTATTAACCTTGCTCAAAAGGTACAGTACCCATACCTTAATAGATGAAACCTGTAGGCGTTTATAAAGCAAAGCATTTATTCTCAAGCATTCCCACGTCCCTCCAATACTTGGTTCCTTCCCTGACCTAAAGAACAACATCCCCATCCCTGTTGCAATGGACAGTGGCACCACACCAGTTCTTATCATGCCCTGCATTCAACCCAAGCCACATTCAGGGAGCCTCTCGCTCTTTTCGTGGAGGAAAAATAACTCAGAAACATGCGCAGGGAAGACCACACTTAACAACCCGCATAGGGCTTGGGGCAGAGGAGCAGAATGGGGAGAAAGACAATCTTATTTCAAGAATTACAGGGAGAAGTGGAAAGGCAAAATAAAAATATTTTTTAAAATGCAACTGACCTGACAGTTCTTGAATTTTCCCCGTCCGACCTGCAAAGAAAAGAAACAATGAAAAAGTCAGAGCGGAGCTAAAAATTAGGATCACTGTTCTGATTAAGAGTTGTGGGTTGAGATACAATTTGGAAAAAGCACACTTAACATTTTAGGGTATCCAGACACACTCCCAAGTTTTAAGAGGACAATATGGATATGACTTAAGACAAATGTTGAGTGTGTACATAATAGAAATTCACCAAGTTGTGGTTTATTGAATTCTGACTTTCCCTTTTATTTGTGCTTATCCTTGCAAAGAAACCATGGTTTGATACATGCCACAGTTAAAAGCCATGGACTGTTGTTGCTTATGAACTTGTTGCTTATTGGGTTGTTGTAGGTTTTTTTTGGCTATATGGCCATGTTCTAGAGGCATTCTCTCCTGACGTTTCACCTGCATCTATGGCAACCATCCTCAGAGGTTGTGAGGTCTGTTGGAACTAGGAAAATGGGTTTATATATCTGTGGAATGACAAAGAACTCTTGTCTGTTGGAGCTAGGTGTGAATGTTTCAACTGACCACCTTGATTAGCATTTGGTGGCCTGGCAGTGCCTGGGGCAATCTTTTGTTGAGAGGTGATTTTGTTGAGAGGTGATTAGATGTTCTTGATTGTTTCCTTTCTGTTGTTTTGCTGTTGTAATTTTAGAGTTTTTTTTTAATACTGGTAGCCATATAGCCATATAGCCTGAAAAGACCTACAACCCAGTGATTCCGGCCATGAAAGCCTTCAACAATACATTATTGCTTATTGTTAATCATGACTTGTTCTTATATCTGCACCCAAAATCACAACATGCCACCATTGCCAAAAGTTGAGGAAAATAGATTTTGTGTTAGGATTACATCTTTTTTAGAGTTCAACCAGCACATACACACACACACACACACTGTAGACATTGTTTTAGTCATTTTTAAAAAATATTTTTTATTGCTTACCATCTTAGAACTTAAAACATATAGTGGGGGGAACAATTTATCATAGTAAAGTAGGAAATATTTAAGATAGAAACAAAAAAGAGAAACAGACCAAAACATAAGAGAAAAAAGAGGAAACAATAAAAATATGAAATAATAATAAAATAAAAATGTGACTTCCAATATTCTTCCTTTCATTATGTCTTTCATATCAGTTACTACAAAATTCTTACAAAGAATCTTTTCCACCTTGAAAATTAATTCCTGTGGGTAAAAAAAAATAGTCCAATCGATTCTCCTCTTTTAAATAATTCATTAAACTTGACCAGTCTGTTTGTATCATTGAGGTTGTTTTAGACATTGAGGGTGTCAGATACAAACCAACCCAAAATTACAGACCTCTTTCAAAAATGCAACTTCAGTTCACATTTAAATTGGAATGTTTAGTGTTTGCTGAGATAGGAGAATCACAATTCAGCAGTAAAAGATACTTTCCGCTAAGAGAAGTTTAAAAAAAAACCTGTCCCTTCTCACATTAAAAAATAAAATAAAAAGACATGAAACATAACCCTATATAATGTTTCAGAGAATAGTTAATTTACCAGAACCACAGCAGATAAACCTACAGGCATATTTTAGCCTTTGTTCCAAGGGGGCAGGTACTAAGAAGTCTATGAGATTAAGATCGTCTGAGAATAATCTATAATTGTGCAATAATAGCTATGGAATTATGTGCAATGACTTTTGGAGCAGCCCAGGATTACAATCATGGATGGCATGATTCTTAATAGTGATTGTAATTTTTTTAATGTTTTTAATGCGCATTTAATTTTAATTTTAAACTGTTTGTTGTTCAAAGGCACTGAATCGTTGCCATACATAAAGCCGCCTCGAGTCCCCTTCGGGGTAGAGAAAGGCGGGATACAAACACAGTAAGTATGACGGGCGTTCATTAAAGATTTCCCCTACCCACTTCTTGTGAACTGAGTGCAATGAAACTTGGCACAGTTATTCATCCTTGTCTACATAGTTGCCACTTAGGGACACTTCTCCCATCTTTTTAAGCAACTGTAAACACCTTGCTTGTAGAAGTTGACAGGCTGCTCCAAAAGCCATGTTGTGACTTTGGAAATCAGAAGTCATCATCTGAAAAATGCTTGCCCTTCAAAAATAACTTCCTTGTTGGAAAGAGGTGGAAATCCGATGGTGCGAGGTCATATCAAGAGGGATGTGGTAGAATTTCTAAGCCACAGGAGCATGCTTCCATTTGAGCAACATGTGATTTGTGAACTGGTGCATTGTCTTGCAAAAGGCAGACACCTTTGGTGAACATTCCATGTGTCTTGGTTTTGATGGCCTCCCGCAATTTTTGCAGCAGTGAAGCATAGTATGCCCCAGTGATCATAGCATCTTTGCTAGGAAATCCATCAATGCTACTTCGTGCTAGTCCCAAAATATTGTGAGCATGACCTTGCCAGCCAAGAGTTGGACACGTGCCTTCTTTGGAGGTGGTGAGTCATGATGCTTCCACTGCATCAACTGGACTTTAGTCTTCGGATCATAGTGATGGAACCAGCTTTCATCCTGTGGGATCGGTCTGTTGAAAAAGTCCTCCTGGTTTCCATGGCACATCGTCAATAGAGCCTGAGAGCATTCGACTCGTTTCTGATTCTGGAAAGGTGTGAGCAGCCGGAGGACCCAGTGAGCGGATAACTTATGCGTGTCAAGGCAGTTTGGATGATTTTTTTTCCCATGGACCCCACACTAATCGTGACATTTTGGGCGAGGTGGCGCATGGTTGTGTGGCAATTTTCCAAAATGGTGATCTCCACTTTTTGGATGGTGTGTTCATCAATAGCAGAGTGGGGTTGCCCTGGAATTGGAGCTGTTTGTACCAAAGTCCAACCACATTTGAATTGACAATGCTAGTTCTTGACTACTTCATATGATGGGGAATCATCACCATAAACCTCTTTCATCTTATCAAACGTCTCCTTTAGTGTGCAGCCTTTCAAGTAAAGAAACATGATTGTTCTGTCACGCGCTGGGCCTGTAAAGAATTGTCTTTAAGTTAAGACGTGCAACTTGAGCCCAGCGGGAAGCCAGGGGCTCCTGAGGAGAAGCTCTCAGGGATCTTCCACCACAAATGGTCTTTAGATGGCTCGTGAAGTATAACAAAGTCATTTATTAATGAACAATCAAACAGAAATTTTCTTGTCTTCAATAATGTTAAACAAATGCTTCCAGGCTTTTATGCAACTAGTGGCTTCCTAATCTTGTCCACGAAGAACAGGCAATTGTCTTCAATAACTGTTCCTTTACTTTAAGGAAAATCCCTTTATAACTTTTCCCAGGCTGACTGTAATCTAATCCTTACTGATGTTGGCTCCGCTACCGGGTCAATCTGCATCTCAAGCACCGAGTGGACCTACCAGTAAAGGCCAGTAGATTCTCCTGCTGGAGTTCTTTGGTCTTCCAAACTGTTTACCCTCCAAAATTCCTCAAGGCTTTAGAGCTGTTTCCCTGGAAATCTTTGGAGGTCTTTGGATGCTCTTAAGACTGTTCTCCCCCGGAAAGTCTTAAGGGTTGAAGCTTTTGTACAGGAGAAGCTTGTACACGTCCTCTACATTAGCTTTCCTTACTGAGACTAACTAAAAATGGCTCCCTTCCCTTCCCAATTGCCCTGAACAAGGGGCAGAACCAAAACTTAACGATGATGGACAGGTGACTTGCCCTATGACTGCAACCAAAGGAAGCCACCTTTCTGCAGAATCCCAGGAACCTTGGACTGCAAGTAAACATTTAATACAAAGCAAATAAAGTTGGAGCTCCTGGTATAGCCATACCAGCACAATGATGACTGCTCTGTGTTCAACTGGGTCCATTATCAAATCTCATACCACTTCAGCACCTGTAAAATCAAGACCGTTATTGCTTATGAGTTGTAAATTGGCACGTAACCTATAGAGACTTATATCATTACACATGTGCAGTTTCAGCATCCTGTGATAAACAGAAGTGGGTCAAGAGAAATCTTTAATGAACACCCCCCCCCCTCGTAAATAAATAAATAAATAAATGGGGTCAATTTCTGGGCCGTGGGATTTTCCGTGGACCTCATAATTGTCAAAAAATGGGGGGAGGGGGGATTGATACTGAAAATGGTTGGAAGTCCAGTTTTGACTTTGAAAAACTGATCTTTTTTTTATTCTAAGATGTGAGAAGCTGTAACCCACTTAAAGGATGAATCACGACTCATGGAAGTTTCCAAGAGAGATAATTGCAGTTTTTTGGCCTGTGATGGGTGAGTAGTGAGTGGGCCAAGAAGCCGGCCTTGGAGGCCATCAAGGGTCAAAACTAAACATTACCTTCTCTGTTCTGGGATTCTGAGGTGAGGAGTTAAAATGCTTTTAAAATACATTAATGCTTAATAGTGCAATGGCTTATTAATGTTTATAATGTACGAGGGGTATTTTTTAAGTAAGGTCCGTTGGAACATAAGTACTCAACAAAAGTTTGTTTCAAAAAAATACATTTATTTTCAGAAAGTACATATTTCACTCTATTTTTTGACATAGTTGCCAAGTTTGTTCGAACACTTATCATACCTCTGAACCAATTTTAAAATACCCTCTTCATAAAAGCTTGCCGCCTGCTCCGATAACCAAATCGTCTGTAATCAAAGAAGGGCAACCGGAGCGGTCCTCATCATGGACGTTGTCACGGCCATCTTTGAATTGTCGTACCCACTTACGCACTTTGCTTTCACTCATAACAGTATCACCGTACACTTCACAAATCTGTCGATGAATTTCGGCAGCAGGCAGGTTCCTTGCTGACAAAAACCGTATCACTGAGCGAACCTCACATGCGGAGGGTGAGTTGATAGTCTTAAACATTTTTAAAGCACAGAACAGAACCGTACAGGTTAGCTACAGAGCGGAAACTGAGCACAGTTGTTCCCGAGGCATGCCGGTACATGACGCATGCGCTCGTTGCGGTATGCGTGCAAACTACTAGTGTCTACAACAAAACGGACCTTACTTTAAAAATACCCCTCGTATTTACATTGTTTTCATTT